CTCTCTCTCTCTCTCTCTCTCTCTCTCTCTCTCTCTCTCTCTCTCTCTCTCTCTCTCTCTCTCTCTCTCTCTCTCTCTCTCTCTCTCTCTCTCTCTCTCTCTCTCTCTCTCTCTCTCTCTCTCTCTCTCTCTCTCTCTCTCTCTCTCTCTCTCTCCCCCCCTCCCTCCTCTCTCTCCTCCTCTCCTCCCCCCCCTCCTCTCCTCCCCCCCTCTCTCTCTGAAAGAAGAAAAAAAAAAAATCTCGTGAACCGCGACGAACAAAATTGCGCCCTTCTCCCCCCCTCCCCCTCGTCCCCCTCCCCCTCTCGCTCGGCCACGCTGAGAATTCGTTCCATTCGGGTGGAGATCCGCCCGATTCGGGGGAAAATGCATCGACCTCGGGGGAAATGCTTGGAATGGCTCGCCTCCGCGAACCATTCGGCCTTTCACGGCTGTTCACGTGATTAGAGGGGGAGGGAGGAAACGATACAATTTGTCACGGTAGGTTGCAAAGGTATACGTGCATGGTGATCAATGTGGTGAAAGCGAATCGTGTGAAAGCGTGCAATTTTTGTTTCGACTAAAATTTAGGCTGATAATTTATTTATCATCGAATTAAAGTTTAGGATTTTTTTTTTTTTGAATTTCATTCCAAAAAAAAAAAAGATCGACACAATACACGGTAAGCCTGAATTCGAATTTTTTGATTAAACGATTTTGATGAAGAACGAATGGGCATGTTTGAGGATACATCTAGTGACTTTTTTTTTTTTTTTTTTTAGCTTGAAAACAATTTCCAACGACACATTCGCACGAATTTCTGCGCTGCGTTCAACAGATGATTGGATGATCCATCCTCCATTTTCGACTCGTTGCTATATATAATAAAAGTATTTTCAAAAAATTCTTAAAAATACAGACAGATTTCTTGTTATTCTAGCGTAACGTAATTATTTCTCGAAAATCGAAAACTCGAAAATTCGGCGCGTTGATATTTCCCTCGCGTTGTGCATGCATCGCACGAGAAAAGCCTCTAGAATCGCAAATTCTAATATCACCCCTCCTCCTCCTCCTCGTCCCCCTTCCCCTCCTCCGCCCAAAGTAAAACTCAATCAAGCGCGAAATACCGAGAGATGAAAACAGCATCGACTCCTCCCCCCTCCCCCCTCCTCCCCTCTCCCCACGAATTATCCCTCGTTCTCAAAGAGCAGCCACGAGCGGTTAAGCTATGCAGCTGGCCCGTGAAATTTCATATCGGATTCTCTCACACCTCCCCCACCCCAATGTCAATGCCTTCCTTGCGCCTTCGTTGCACCTTTTTTTTTTTTTTCTTCTTCTTCCTCTTCCTCTTTTTGTCGTTCCATATTATTATTATTATTCCCTCGCCCTCGCTTCTCACAAAAGCGCGCGTATGTGTTCGTGTGCGTGCGCGCGCGCCACGCGAATCGCGCCCGCGTTTATTGCTCGGCCAAAGGAGGGGAGAGAAGGTGCAGGGGGCAGGATTAAAGGACAAATATTCGAATATTCGAATTCCTCCCGCGGTCCATTGCTCCCACACACTACACCACGTTATGCTAGTGTAGCATACTGCCTTACACTACACTATGCTACACTACACGTCACACTACACTACACTATAGAACACTACACTACACTGTGCCACATTACGCTACACTATATTGCACTACATTGTGCTACATTACGCTACACTACACTATACTACACTATGCTACACTACCTTATACTACTCTACACTATAGTACACTACACTACACTATAGTACACTACACTACACTACACTACGCTACGCTACACTACACTACACTACACTACACTACACTACGCTACACTACACTACACTATACTACGCTACACTACGCTACGCTACACTACACTACACTACACTACACTACACTACACTACACTACACTACACTACACTACACACTATGCTGCATTAAACTACACTATACTACACTACTTATACTATATTGCACTATACTATACAGTGCTACTATGCTAGATTATGCTACAGTACACAAAATTCTCACCTGTGAAGGAGACGTTAAGGAGGTAATTCCTGTAGAACACGCCGCGGTCGTAGTTGGCCATGGAGGGGCAGAGGCCCTCGAGTTTGGAGCACACGTCTCTCTGAAGGTTGTGGAGGGCCAGCGCGAACGCGTACACCGCGTCCACCACGAATTGGACCTTGGACTCTTGCTCGTAACCCCTCTCAGAGGTTAGTCTCAGGTTGGGGGGGCAGAAGAGGGTGGCGTTATCGGTCGGCGCGTTCCGTTCCTCTTTGAGGGGGCAGTCGAACACCTCCTCCCAGTACTCGCTGAACCAGGGGTTGCGGCGGTTGGTGTCGGGGGTGAGGGAGGCCATGTAGTCGTCGAAGCCGGGAATATTCTCGGACTGGAGCTCGACCGTGATGGCGCCCTCGGCCTCCTCCTCGAGGCCCTCGACGAGCTTGATCTGCCTGCCCCACCCGTCGCTGGCCAACCACTGGAAGGGTTGGCTCAGGTTCGACCTCCTCGCGGCCTCGAGGATCCCTCTCGCGTCCTCGGCCCGCGTGAACAGGACCACGGCACGCGCGTTCGCCTTCTTGCTCAACCGTTGGATTATGTCGTCGAACATGCGATCGTCGGCGGCGCTCGGCACTTTGACCGCCGCGGCTATGCACACGTTCCGCTCGGTCGCCTCCCTCGTGAACACCTCGATCCCGTATTCACCGTAGCTGCCCTCCGAGTACACGGTCGAGACGTAGGACCAGTTGGCGCTCTTCACCACGTCCACCAACGCGATCGATTGGAACGTGTCCGGCGGAACGGTCCTCGCGAAGTAGTCGAACCTGATCGTCGAACGATTTTAAACTCGATGAGAAGAGAGACTAGATTCGACGAATCTCTTTTTTAACTATCTCTAGTTTGAAAAATTTTGGGAAAAGTTTTTGAGTGTGGAGTTCGGCGAGGAAAACTGTTGCAAAGATGAGAAAAAAGATTATTGAATAACGAAGAGAAGAATTTTTTATTCGAATAACATCTGTTTTTCGTAAGAATGCAAAATTTGGTCGAAAATATCGCAACAATGTATCCTTTAAATCAATTCAACCAATTGGCACATCTCTGAAAATAATAAAAGACTGCCGCGAGACTACACTACACTACACTACACTACACTACACTACACTATGCTGCATTAAACTACACTATACTACACTACTTATACTATATTGCACTATACTATACAGTGCTACTATGCTAGATTATGCTACAGTACACAAAATTCTCACCTGTGAAGGAGACGTTAAGGAGGTAATTCCTGTAGAACACGCCGCGGTCGTAGTTGGCCATGGAGGGGCAGAGGCCCTCGAGTTTGGAGCACACGTCTCTCTGAAGGTTGTGGAGGGCCAGCGCGAACGCGTACACCGCGTCCACCACGAATTGGACCTTGGACTCTTGCTCGTAACCCCTCTCAGAGGTTAGTCTCAGGTTGGGGGGGCAGAAGAGGGTGGCGTTATCGGTCGGCGCGTTCCGTTCCTCTTTGAGGGGGCAGTCGAACACCTCCTCCCAGTACTCGCTGAACCAGGGGTTGCGGCGGTTGGTGTCGGGGGTGAGGGAGGCCATGTAGTCGTCGAAGCCGGGAATATTCTCGGACTGGAGCTCGACCGTGATGGCGCCCTCGGCCTCCTCCTCGAGGCCCTCGACGAGCTTGATCTGCCTGCCCCACCCGTCGCTGGCCAACCACTGGAAGGGTTGGCTCAGGTTCGACCTCCTCGCGGCCTCGAGGATCCCTCTCGCGTCCTCGGCCCGCGTGAACAGGACCACGGCACGCGCGTTCGCCTTCTTGCTCAACCGTTGGATTATGTCGTCGAACATGCGATCGTCGGCGGCGCTCGGCACTTTGACCGCCGCGGCTATGCACACGTTCCGCTCGGTCGCCTCCCTCGTGAACACCTCGATCCCGTATTCACCGTAGCTGCCCTCCGAGTACACGGTCGAGACGTAGGACCAGTTGGCGCTCTTCACCACGTCCACCAACGCGATCGATTGGAACGTGTCCGGCGGAACGGTCCTCGCGAAGTAGTCGAACCTGATCGTCGAACGATTTTAAACTCGATGAGAAAAGAAACTAGATTCGACGAATCTCTTTTTTAACTATCTCTAGTTTGAAAAATTTTGGGAAAAGTTTTTGAGTGTGGAGTTCGGCGAGGAAAACTGTTGCAAAGATGAGAAAAAAGATTATTGAATAACGAAGAGAAGAATTTTTTATTCGAATAACATCTGTTTTTCGTAAGAATGCAAAATTTGGTCGAAAATATCGCAACAATGTATCCTTTAAATCAATTCAACCAATTGGCACATCTCTGAAAATAATAAAAGACTGCCGCGAGAAGATAAATTTTGAAAAGAAAGAGAAAGTAGGAAGAAGAAATCACCTGGTCTTGTCGCTGAGCGCCTTGGCGGTTGAGGCGGGCGAGATCTGGGGTATGTGGAACAGCCTGAGAAGATTTGCAACCTGCAACGACACGGAGCTGTAAGAGCCCCCTATCACGCCGAATATCGGCCCGGCGCTCGCCGTCTTCTTCACCCTTGGCGCCGATCTGTCCGCGCACTCGAGCACGCTGATGTCCAGATTCGAGAGCGACGCCCTCACGAAGTGCAGGCTCTGGTTCAGGGCGTACGTGTCGCGGCCGCACGTGTCCAGGATGTGCACGCCTATGGTGATCCCGGGAAGTATCCCCTCGTCCCTGTTTATCTGGTCGACGGCGAACAGCATCGCCTCGAGCCGCTGCACGCCTCTGTTGTACACGTTCGGCCCGCACGAGGCGCCCCCCTTCTCGTGCACCGGGAACAAACCGCCCAGCACTATGTCCCCCGGAATCACCACCGACTCGCTCCTGCCCGGCTTCCACTGGCTGCCGCCGTACGTGGACAGCCGGTGGAGGGACACCAGCAGGACCAACATCCGGGCGAGGGACCGCTGATGGCTCATCTTTTCTCTCTCTCTCTCTCCTTCGTCTGTCTGTCCGTCTATCTGTCCTTCATCGATTCGATTTCTTTCATTTCCTTTCTCGGTTTGGAATTACACTCTGTCTCTCTGTTCGAGGAGATCCTACAAGATCTCTTCCCCGAGGAGGTTCGAGGAGAGCCTCTGGATCCTCCAAGATCTCTTCTCTGTTCGAGGAGAGCCTCTTTTCCTAGGAGGTTCGAGGAGAGCCTAGATCTTCCAACGTCTCTTGAGGAGGTTCAAGGAGAGCCTCTGGATCTTCTTTGTTCG